TTAATTGTTAGTGGTAATGGTTGCCTTTTAGATTAATAAAATGTTGAATATATATGGATTACTGAAGTAGAGTATCCATTATTATCCTTTTTATAGGTTCGATAATTATCTTAAAAACTTCCTCCTTGTTTAAAGCATATATGCTAGTTTTCTAGCTCACTAGAAATAAACTTCTATTTTAGATAGTCCCGGAATACGCATATGTATATATTAATTGTGTTATAGATTTAACTGAGAATATAATATTAGTTTTATATTTTGTTAATGCAACCCCTCTTACTTCACATGCAATATGAGATATTAATTGATGTGTGATTGAATTTGATTATATACCTATATACATGAAGTTGAAATAATGTATGAATTGAACATGAAGTGTTCACACGTAAGGACCTGAAGTTTCTTAAACTAATGAAGGGTCATATATACATGATCTGATAATGTCTACTGTTCACAAGACTAAAATGATTTTATAAACACAATGTCAAGAGAAAAACATACAAATTATTTTTGATTAGTTCTAATATTATCTTTTGGGTGCACATTTAAGATATTGAACTTGATCTATATATATATATATATATATATATATATATATATATATATATATATATATATATATATATATATATATATATATATATATATATATATATATATATATATGAACGTTGATAAATAATTCCCAGAGAATTTAATAAACAATAATTGAATGAGCCTTATGATTAAAAGATAGATGTGTTGCATGATGATTATCATTCATGTAAAGTTCATAATAATTACAAACATGAGTACATAATTTTCATTTGAAATAAAATTAATCTAAGCATGACAATGTGAAAAGATTAATTAATTAGTTGAATAATGTATTCACTATGCCCATATTTTTTGAGAACCTTCAATATAAAGATTCATGTAATTGGGCAAGAGGAAAAGAATAACTTTTCTTTGTTTGATACATGCATTGCTACAAAAATTTATGGCTTAAAAGGAGAAAGGGATTTAAAGAGTGGTGGACTATTTTTATACCCCCCACATGCAAGGATTAGGGGGAGATTGTGTTTATTCCATGGTTTTTATGCAATTCTTGCACATGAATAATTAAATATGTTGATGGTCAATTTGGTATATACACTAGCATAAATATCAACGATTTATATAATAGAGGTGGCCACATGATAATCAAATATTTAGAATGATACTATCTTGAAAATGAATATGAATAAATAACTTTTTACTAGTTATACATGTACATATTAAGTTGATATCCTAGAAGGACAAGATCAATTGCTATTGAAACTAGCACACCTGAAGTGTGGTAATCCAAAGGGTAACAACGGTAAGAATCCTTGGAAGAGGAAAGGAGCAATAATAAACAATGACAAATTTGAGAAAGTGACACATTTTGATGGATCTCCCGAAGAGATCATTTCTAGTACTTTAAAATCTGTTATGACTATATAAAGTACTCCAGAAGAGTATAAAATGTTGTCCAACAAGGTTGGCATTTATCAAGATTACAATCAATCCTCCAGTGGAGTATGGTTAATTGTCTTGCCAATTGTAGAAAGAAACACATTGGTGTACTTATATCACATCATACTCATGGCCATGCATAAAGTATCTCTAATAAGGTGATCACCATTATTATAAAACTAACCATAATTTAAATACTCAAAAAAAATGATTGGATGTGATAATTAAATTAAGGCCATCCGGGTTCAATAAATATCCGTTATGCATGGAAACCTGAAGTTTCATTCAATAATGTGCTGACACTCTATCAATGTTAGATATATGAAATGAATTAAATGGCAAGACATAAAATTGAGATTGAGCTATAATAATTTATGTTGATGAAAATTTCAAGTGTTAATATAGGTTTTGATTTTTGTATATACGAAAGAGTAATAGGTGACCAGAAGCTCATCAAAATTACTTATATATTATTGTCAAGTATTAGATGACCAGAAGCTCACCACATACACTATTTAGGTCTTCAAAGATCCAAGAAATCACTATATAGTGGCTTTACATACAAGTGATTTCATTATTCTTGATTAGGGCTATTTTATGTCAGCACATAAGAAATAGAATAAGAAAATAGATAACTGCATAACACATGTCTCCCCATTGACATTAATCTCCAGAAGAGAACATATTATGGAAATTGTAATAATAAATATACATGCAATGTAAAGTTAATGAAGAAATGATTCTACATTGAAATTCTTCTCCAGAAGAGATAAATGTTGTTTAATACAAATCTTCTGAGAGATAAATTTTGATTGTGATCCTCGCATGAAATGTATTTTAATGCAATACTAAGTTGGTATAGAATTATACGCCCCTATAAATGAGATATTTTACCAACTTAGGGGGAGAAGAATCAGCAAAAGTTAGAAAATCGAAAAGAATTTGATGATCCCTATAATGGTAGTTTGAAAAGTAATATGCCAACTTTTGTCTATATAATATCAAGATATGTTGCACATTTATGATTTGATTTGTATTCAGTTATGACTCATGTTGCATAGAGTTGAAGATACATTTTGGCCATATTATGTGTATACATTGAGATAAAATCTTGCCAATTATACTTGAATCACTACATCTGAAGTGTAGGTTGGATGACCGATTCCAAATTAAAGATATGATATGTGGCAAGATAGTGCAGTTAACACTTTTAACAGTGTAATAGTATATAAATACCATAATGTATGAAATACCCCAAATAGAAGTGGTATATATATAGAAATCTGAACTATTATAGATGGCCTATGACATGAGAAAGTCATAATGGTACGTACCAATTGAAAATGTATTCAGATATCATTACAAAATAGCATGCGGAATGTACATTAAAGAATTTTATGATGCCGGTACATAATGGAACCGATAAATAATGTGCATATAATATGCATGATAGAATGGACTAATGAATAAGGAATCTGAAATATATATGTCCATTTTGATGTCGACATAAAATGATCAAAAGTTTATTACGGACCAGAAGTCCAATGAAATATGGATTTTTAAATCCACACTGTACAGTGTCTTGCATCATTTTGAGTCTTATGTTCATGTGCATGTGTGAGTCATAGGTTAATGAATTACTTATTGCATGTGTAAGAAGTTGTTAGATGCATTACTCATTGTATATTTTGCTCAATATCTTATCATAATTTCTATGTCTTAAATTGCATGCATTAGTTTCTATATAATATTTGTGGTATATGTAAATGTTCAATATATATATAGTAAGACATATTTACAAATTTGATGGAAGGAAAGACATATTTATATTACAATGGGCTTATAATTATGATGAAATTATATATGATGTTGATCTAATATTGTTTATGAATCATGTAAGAAAAGTTCCCGAAGAACTTATATGCAACTTATTTATAGCCCTACAAATTTTATTGCAATTACTATCAAACTCTTGAAAAGTCTATGTGACTACATCATTGACATCTCAACTTGAAGTTTGAGGATATGAAAATTAGTGAGATTTGCATTTTGTATTTGCAAGAGAGCTATCATGCCAATTATGAAACGTCTAAAGAATATCAATGGAATACTTATGCGTGAGAATGTTTTATTATGGTCTAGAAGAACCATGATCAATGTATATAATTACATATGTTATATTAATTCATACGAGATTGAATAACAACATTAATAATATCATGTGTTGCCATTAAGGAATGTTTGATCAAATAATGATCATCGATTTCTATTAGTCATGACCTCCAGAAGAAGGCGTTACCGCATAAGTTTAAAGTAACTTTATTCAAACAAAGGTTTGGAATGATATAAAGATAAATCCATACATGGTGAAATGAAGACACTTTATATGTTCACGTGAAGACTTGAAGATGCAAATTCAAATTAGGAGGGTCGAAGAGCAAGGAATGATATTAAGGTATTAAATAATATGTAAGTGAAGAAAACTTAAATTATAACAAAAATAAAATATATAAAAGGGAAATTTTACACTATTGACTTTTTCAAGTTGTATCCCGCCCTCCTTTTGAAAGTTATACACTATAACCTTCAACTTACAATTATGTATTAATAGTGACCTTGTCGTTATCCTACCGTTAACAGTTACTATTAGTGGGGCCCACTTTACATCTATTAAAACTTTTTCTCGATTTGCATGCTAAAAAATATTTCGTTAAAGGTTTTAGAGGTCAATTTGCCCTTAAGGATCCAAATTGAGCTTGAATTTGGCTAAAAAATAACATAAAAGCCCGATTTTATCATTATACTCTTAAGTACAAAAATTCGATTATATCCCCATCCCTACCCTACCATTCGCCAAACCAGGACCCATATCCCGCTCCACTGGCAAGGATGGGCGGGCCCACTAACATCCGTACCTTTTACTTATGGCCTTATCCTAATCCCCACCCCCAAAGTGTTTAATTCACTAACTCGAGTTGGATTAAGGTCCTGTTTATTAGTTCACCTTATTTTTGTTTATCTAAACTTATTTGATCTGGTTTGATTTGATTTGATATGATCTGATCTTATTGTCTGATTTGACCAAACATTGACCTTAAGTGTATGATAATCTATAAGGAAAAAATATATCAAGTGGGATCTTGTTAAATTCGTAATAATGTGTATTTTATTAATATGTATTTTTCATAATTTTTTTTCTTTACGAAATTAAATATATTTAACGATAAAAAATTGCACATAAAACGATGATCAGATTTGAGCTTATTTTTTCTGATTTGATTTGATCTGAACTTATTTTTTCTGATCTGATCTAATTTGAACTTATTTTTTCTGATTTGATTTGATCTGAACTTATTTTTTCTGATCTAATTTGATTTGAACTTAATTTTTTTGATTTGAACTTATTATTTTTGAAATAAGTAAAAATTAGTTGAATTAAACAAGGCCTAACTCGCAATGGGCTAAGGTTTTTTTATTTTACCTGTCTAAAAAATAAATTAAATAATTTAGATCTGACGGTTGATATTATTTAGATCCGACTGTTGATATTACGCCCGTGTCTTTCAAATACCTCTCAATCTCCTACGTTGTACTAACATTACGTACCAAGAACTTCGTTTTTACGCTGTACGTTCTCCCACTCTCTCCTCCATTGAAGCGGGTTCTGAGCTTTCTCTCTCTTCCATTAAAGAAATTTCTGAGCTTTCTCTCCCCTCCATTAAAGCATCATCTAAGGTAAGATTTTTGTTGCAATATTCGAAACCCAATTTCACAATTTAGGGTTTAATGTGATTGTCAGTGTAGTCAGTTAAACGATTCATATTGTTGCTAGAATTTTGTTGCGCAATTTACATTGATATTATTAGCAAGATTTGATAAATTCGATTGATAAGAGTCTAATTCGTCTGCTAAAGTATTAATATTTAGAATATGAGGCCAATATTGATGAAGGGCCATGAAAGGCCTTTAACATTCTTGAAGTACAATCGAGACGGCGACCTTCTCTTCTCTTGCGCAAAGGATCACAAACCTATAGTTTGGTACGCCGACAATGGAGAACGCCTCGGTACCTATTCTGGACACAACGGTGCCGTTTGGTCCTGCGATGTCTCTTGTAAAACTCTATTACTCTTGTTTCTACTTCTTCCATTTTTATTTACTTGCAATCCAACTTTTTGTGGCATGTGCTTTGTGGTCGAGAATATATAATGTAAATGGACAAATTATTCAAAATAATTTTTACTCGTAATACCCTCTGTTCCTCATGTTAATTTTTTTTTTTTGATAAAATCGTTTGTTTACCTTAACTAATCATCTCAAAAAACAGAGGAAGTATTTTTTTTTTGTCTAAGTTGCTACTGTCTATATTAACAATCAGGCTACAGCTTTGTGTTTGAGACTTTCAGTAATTTTATAAACCTGGGTTTTCTTGATCATTGATGTTTTGTGTATTGGTGAAAACAGCCACTATTTTAAGAACAAATATTTTGAGCATGTTTGACAAACTTTGTTATAGAGTTAAGGTTTTGGGTTGGTTTGGATGTTGTTACATGGAAACGGTAGATTACAAGAGACCAACCCAATATTTATGATTGCCACTTGCTATTCGAGTTTTTTTAAACTCTAAATTGTCCTGAGTTTGGTTCAATCCTTCCCAATTTTGTTTCTTTGTATTTGTTCCGATACGTAGAATATATCTGCATATGTACATTTGAGGAAAAGTATATGAGGTATTTTGGGGTGTCACATTGGCTGTAGTGATGCAAAGCGTAAAGTTAGAACTGTAGAAGAAGGGGGGTGGAGTAAAAATAGTGCTGTGAAAGGGTGCCTTGGGTTTGATTTCATTTAAATCTTATTAATTGTTCTGTTTCATAGACATGGCATTATTATTGTCAACCTCTTGAAGATTATTGTGCAACTTCATATTGTTTTTGGTATAACTTAAACTTTGGACTGTTAACTGAATTTTGAGCAAACTTGCATTAGTTCTAATTTTTTTTTAAACGTGGGCTAAATTTCAGCATGAATATGTCTAAAGTTTCTACCCTTGTTTAAAGTTGTGAATTTGTGCCCTTAATTGATGATATCTTTTATTTCAGGGGATTCTTCCCGTCTAATTACTGCCAGTGCGGATCAGACTGTGAAGCTCTGGGACCTTAAAAGAGGAGAGGAATTACATACCTTCAAATTTGACTCTCCTGCCAGATCAGTGGATTTTTCAACTGGTGATAAACTTGCTGTAATCATCACTGATCCATTTATGGAAAAGACTTCTGCAATTCACGTGTATCGTATTGCAGAAGACCTCGATGAACGTAAGTATGCCATATGTTTTTCAATTTTTTGGACATTTGGACTATTTACATCATTTCCGGCTTAGGAATTATTGTATTGGTTTGTTGTATAATTATTTATAACTGCCCATTTCTTTCACTTGCAAGCTTAACTTTCGCTTTTGTATACTGTATGTCTGAAGACTCTGAACTGTTATTTTATTTGTAGCCTTTTGTGTTTTAGGGCTTAGTTTGTAGAGATGGAGGTAGCTTTTACTCTACAAACAGTGCTTTGGAATGGTTAAAAATTGAACCTAATGCCTTTAACTCGTAGATATATCTTTTAGACATAAAAAATAGTTTTGCTTTCCTTTTTGGGTTTTTTTTTTTTTTTTTTTTTTTTTTTTTTTTTTTTTTTTTTTTTCTAACAATTAGAATTACCACACTTTTTATACTGTTGATCTGAGGGATAACTTCTCAACAACTTGCATCTACTTGCACATTTAATCCATCTTATTGGCTGTACAATCACTAACGTGTACTAAGAACAATTACTTTTCCATAAGGGTCTTCATTAGTGTGGTGATGCTATGTGTGCTTTTTGTTTCAGAGATATGTGATCTTGTCATATGATACTTTGGGGGCATTTTCTAATCATTTAGTATGGTAATTTTTTTTTTGATATACATTTTTTTTATTTAGGAGGCTTAGGTTACTTTTTTAGCTGAACATTATTATCCACTCTTTTTTATAAGCAACATGCAGGCTTTTGGCTTTAAGGCATTTACGCTAATATTACTTGTCTATGAATTTGTGTGTATATCCATTAACATTTATCCCTTCTCACTTTATTATCCTTGAAATCTGCTCCCAAAGATTACATCATTGTTTACCTTGATTTGCAGAGAGTGATAGGCCAGTTCTTGTCATCAAGGGTCCAAATGGAAGAATCAATAGAGCTGTTTGGGGGCCTTTAAACAACACTATAATCAGCTGTGGCGAAGATGCTATCATCCGTGTCTGGGATCCTGTGGTAAGAAGCACTACCAATCGTATCATTTTTGTTTGTTATATACTTGTATCCACATAGCCTTGAGTCTTGGAACTTCATGAAAGAACAGTGCGCCTTAAAATTCTGTTATATGATTTACGTATGCTTGAGTTCTTTTTGCTGCTTTTGCCATGTTTGGTGGCTTGATTTTTAGTGCTTCAAATTGCAGACAGGCCAAGAGATGATGTCTACAAAGGACCATAAATATGGTCACACGAAAGCAATTACATCAATTTGTCTATCTGCAGACAAGTCACATTTCCTTACGGGCTCTCTGGATAAATTAGCAAAGGTTGTATATCTCATGATATTTGAATGAATTAAGATACTGTGTTGATTTTTGTTTGTTTTTGTACTAACATGGTTTGTTTTCTTTCTTCAGCTCTGGGACACAAGGACTTTAACTCTCCTTAAATCCTACAGTACAGAGCAACCTGTGAATGCTGTTACCATGTCTCCTTTACTGGACCATGTATGTTACTTTAATTTTCATTTTCATTTATTTTATTTCTTCTGATTTGTTGTTGCCAGTTTTACTAGCTGTGTGGTGTCTATATTTGCACTGCTCCAGTTTTCCCATGGTATATTTTCTTAGGGCAAGAAATTTGGTATTTGAATGGTTTTCACTACAGGATGTTTGATGACTTGATGAGTCTTAAGCCTCAACTGGATCATCATATATCTCACTTTGTACTTGTATCACCATAATTATGTTAGATAGCAGTTAGCATGATGAATGAGAGATGTCGGGATTGATTTATTGCTACCCTATATGATATGCTTTTAATTTGTTATTGACATCTAGTTTAGTGATGAGAGAAATTAAAGTGACTCATAGTTATGTGCAATTTTTATTGATTGTGAACTGGTATACGGCTTGGATCATGACTCCTTATATCGACTCACAGTTATCCTGCTTGAGGTGGGAACCTATATAAATATATATGAGGTATTGAGGGTAATGATGCTATATAGGAATACCTTTTTAATGTGCATGTGGTGCAGCAGAGCTTTTTGTTTTCCCGTACAATCTGTAATATTCTCATAAATTCCTTTGTTATATAAGCTTACAGCATTAGACATTGCTTGAACTGTGTTTTCTCCTACAGGTTGTGCTTGGAGGTGGTATTGAAGCATCATTAGTGCCTATAGTTGGTCGTGCAGGAAAGTTCGAAGCGAAATTTTTTGATAAGGTAAATTACACATAATTATGTGTGAATGAAAGATTGCATTTGTTATTAGTATGAATGGGTAAAAAGGGGGCTGAAAGACTTATCAGCTTACTGATACTTTTGAGTTGCACTGTCCACCAATAGTATAACTGTGTCTCTTCTTGAAGACGTGTTGCATTTTTCATGTCAATTCCTACATGTAAATGTCCAACTTGTCAAAGAAAGAGCATATAAGGCCCCATGCTCATGCCTGTAGTAACAATTTGCTTTATTTTACATATTGTTCCATTATTCACAACCAATGTTACATGGACTCGGGTACCCATGTCCAACACGAGTACATGTCCAAGCGCCCGACTCGACTATTTTGTGAATCAATTTCCATGGTTTTGAACTAAAAATGAAGTGTCCAAGTGTCATACTCATGTCCAAATGTCAAGGGTCCAACATGGGTACTTGAGATAAAATGAAGAGTCTATGTAACATAGGTTCCATAGATAAACAAGATTACATGCTGAGTATGTTATCAGCTTAAGCAATGCACATCGTATTTCTTTTGAACTGGTATCCAACACCTCTCGATAGACTTGCAGCAAACATGTATCAAGGCTTTTGCAACCAAAAAACTAAACACCTAACAACTCTATGTTAGTTTAGCCAGCCCGAGATCTTCAGCCGATCCTAAATCTGCTTCTATTTGCCCAATAGGGGATGGATATCTTAGGGCCATTTCCCGATACTCCGTACCAGAAAAGATGGCTGGTAGTCGGCATTGACTATTTCAGCAAATGGATCGAGGCCGAAGCAGCCTCGAACATCACAGAGCAAGCTGTCAGGAAATTCATGTGGCAGAATATAATCACTCGCTTCGGAATTCCGAAGGTCTTTGTCTTCGATCATGGGAGGCAGTTTGATAATTTGGCGCTAAGGCGGTACACTGATCAATTTGGCATCAATTTGGCATATTCTGCAGTATGTCATGTGTAGAGTAATGGTCAAGTCGAAGTTGCAAACAAGCAGATTCTCAACGCTCTCAAGAACAGTGTTGAAGATCAAAAGTCTAAGTGTATAGAGGAACTTCCAGGAACTCTCTGGTCACTTCGGGCGACTGTAAAAGAGGCAACGGGACATTCACCTTTTAAGCTAGTGTATGGATCCGAAGTCATTCTTCTAGTGGAAATCGACACAGAAAGTCCGTGGGTAAATCTCTTCTCGGCCGTAGAAAACGAGCAACTCATGATAGAATCCCTCGATTTTCTTGACGAGGTCAGAGATTTGGCTTAAGACAGATTGGCTGCATACAAGCAAAGAATCAACAAATTTTACAACCGAAGAGTCCATGCAAGACTTCTCAAAATTGGAGATCCTGTCCTTGGGAATGCTGCAGCTGTGCAAAAAGGTCGCATTCATGGGAAACTATCAACCACTTGGGAGGAACCCTATGAAATTTTTGATGAACTTCAGCCCGGAACATACCGACTTTGACAGTTGGATGGAACTGAGCTGAAGAACACTGGAACGCAGATGTACTTAAGAAATATCATGTGTATGCCCTTTCGGCGAAGAACGATCTATGTAAGTGCATCTTTTTAATTAATGAAAGGCCCTTGAGCCACCATTTATATAAATTTAGCAAGTTTCTGTTTTTCTATCTTCTACATTTTTTTAAAAAAGAGGTTTCCCTTCGGCACTGTCCGAAGTATATCCCACTAGAGGCATTGTACTTCGGATAGCCATCAAACCTGCCAAACAAGGAACAATGATTTCACCACCGAAGTATAGCTATTTCAGGGCATCGTACTTTGGATAAATCAGTTCCTTGAGGCAAAGAGACCGTGGACAAATCTAAAGCATAGCCTAAACATTGGCATCGTGCTTCAGAGGAGTTATATCCGAGGCATTTCCAGAATGATGGCCTTGTGTTTCGGATAGTCATTCCCTCGGATGAATTTTAAGAATTGAGAGAATATTGCTCTTGGAGTCTAATGCTTCTGAGCAACGAACTCATAGATTCTTAAAAAAAAAAAGAAGAGAAAGGGAAAGAGCAAAAACTTCAAAATTTTGCAAAGATAAAGTTTCATCCGCACTAAAAATTTGAAGCAAGTACCTCAGAAACCTGAAGATCGAAGCTTTAGAAATCTGGGGGGCAAGAAGCACTCAGGTAAGCAACGGTTCCAAGCTGAAGCTCAGTACTTAGAATTTTTTTTGCAAAAAAGTGAAAGCAAATTAAAGCAAAAAGAATAAGTAGAAGGAGTAAGGTAAAAGGAAAGCAAACCATAGCATTCATAGTAGTTTAAATATGCTCGGAACTCCGAGCCACATATAAGTTGAAGAGTTTGTACAAGGCAAGCTGAGGCAAACGAAATTCTACATCGGCAGCCGCCCATAAGCGGAAAAACACAGCTACCGAACTAAGTACAACTACTTAGATTAAACAAAATTAAGAGTTTGTACAAGGCAAGCTGAAGCAAAAGTTAAGGCAAAACAAATGCGGCAAAAATAGCAGTTAGGCACAAGTGGATCCGTAAGACTCTGAAGACGACTGCCCGAATCCCTATGCTTCAGCATCAGTAGGACCAAGCTGAGCAGCTACGCTGGGGCCCTCAGAAGTTTCAGCACCAGCTTAAAAGGAGGCTGACTGAGCAAGAGTCTTTTCAAACTCTCTCTTCTTAGCTTCTTCTCTATCCCCCTCTTAGGCCTCCCGCTCAGCTCGAGCCTCAGCTTCAGCCGACGAGCTAGAAAAGCGACCTCAGCAGGACTGGCAGTGTGCAGATGTGGGTCATTAGGGTCCATAGACCACTCCTCAGCTGCATCCCAATTTATGCTGGGATCGTCGTAAAAAGCAAGGCGCCGAGCAACCTGGAAGCCGTTGTCAAAACCCTCGTCATATTGGTCTTGGGTAACAGCTGGGCAGCCTCAAGATCAGCCTGAGCCTTAGCGGCCCATTTAGTCTGAATCTGCAGCTGACCACGGACGTCATTCAGTTCAGCCTAAGCTTGGGAAAGCTCGGTATCTTTACCTCCCAGCTTCAGCTCAGCCTCAGAGAGCTCCACGTCCCGAGCATCTAGCTCGCTCCTCAGTCGCAGAATTTCAGCCTCAAGCTCGGATTGCTTTTACTTGGCCTCAGCTTCGACCAGAGCAACCTTCTCAGTAAATTCTTCAGCCATCTACTGCCGAGCCTCAGCCTCCCGTTGTACCTTCTGCTCAATGCGAGCCTTGAAGCTCGGAATGTCAACAACCCCATACTCTTGGTTCAGCGCCTGACCCTCGTCTAGCCACGGGAAGATGGACTGTTCCATTTCCTGGGAGAAAGTATTGAAGCTGGAAGCCATAGAGTCCATATTAGCTCGGAGGGCAGTGGCATCTTCTTCGGCCTTCTGCCTTTTTAGCTCGGCAAGCTGGGCTCGGCACTCAGCTTCTTCGGCTTTTCCTGCCTTGGCCTTCAGCTCCTCGTTCATTTCCACAACAATGAAATGGTTATGAACGACCTGTAGAAAGGAAGAGCAATAATTAGCCGAGGTTAAAAAAAAAAAACTTAAGTAAAAAAGCTTAAGTATAAACAAGTTTACCTACATCAGCAGCCTTTGATTCTCAACAAATGGATCTGGAACCCTCACGAAGGGCTCAGATACCCCAGCTGCGGCCCAAATGGACCAAATCTTCGCCTTCTCCAAATCGGATAGGCCGGACAGGTCACCGAAGAACTCAATTGCTAAGGCTCGGTGAGAAAGAAAAGCGTTCCTAGCAGCATTAGGTGCGACCAGTAGAAGGGCAGACTCAAACCACATCTCAGTAGATTGGAAAGTCTAGAAGGAGTTGCCTGCCGAAGTTGAAGACAGGCCACGTGCCGAGGAGATGATGGAGGAGTTAAATTTGTGGGGTACTCCTAGGTCTCAGCCAGTTACCCAGGAGGGGGAGTCTTCTGCTGCACTTCCTCGTCCCGAGTCTTGGGAGGAGGAGGAGTCTTCTCTTTTCTCGACTCCTTGGTCCGAGGTTTCTTTACAGGAATGGGGCAGCTTGAAACTGCCTGGGCAAAACAACAACCCTTCTCTTCCTCGGATCCAACATGACTTCGTCTGAAGATGATTCGTCCGAAGTTGACTCAACTTGAGCAGCCTCGGCTAGGGGTGTTTAGATCCGGGTATCCAGATTTTCAGGTACCCGAAAATCCGGGTACCCGGATCTTCGGGTAGTTGATAAGTCGGCCCGTGTCCCGTCTCGGATTTAAATTAGTTGATCTATAATACTTGATAATACTACATAATTTTTTTTTTTATAATACTAGATAATGCTATCAAATTAACCTGCCAAATTACAGATGCGAGTAGCTTATTTTTGTACTCGTAAGTTTGTATTCGAGTTTACCCAGATCCACCACCGAAACCCCAAACCCACAACGAACCAACAACCCAACACCACCGATAGCCCTAACCCACAACCCACAATCGAAACCAACCTAACGAAACCCCACCCACACCAAACCGAAACCAACACCACCAGAATTTAACCAAAAATAATGAAGTTTACCAAAACTAGCACGAAAATTACCAGAAATCATATCATATAAATGGATTTATTAAAAATTCAATATTTTTAAAAAATAAAAGAAAATAAAAACAAGAAAGCATACCCTTTAAACCGAAAACGGCCTTGAATTTCACCTCAAATTTGGTTTAAAACGATCAAATTCGACATGAAAACTTTAGATCTAGAGTTTTCATGGTCAAATTTGACCATTAAAACCTTCGTTTTGACCAAATTTCGCGAATTTCAAAACTAAAACCTTCTTTTTGACCATGAGAAAGAAAAGGCGTGAGAAGAACAGAGGAAAGAGGAAGAACATACGAAAGAGAAAGAAGGGAGGAGAGGAGAGAAGGAGGAAATAGAAAGAGGAGAGGAGACTAGGAGAGCGTGAAAAGTTGAGAAATGAGAAGGAGAGAGAAAGAGAGTAAGTGGGAGAAGAGGAGAGATAAAGAAGAGGATGAGGATAAGAAAAGAAGATAGGGTGGGTAATGGGTACA